TATATATATATGTATATATTTTTTGAAGAAATTCCCAAAGATATTCATAATCTTTTATAAATATAACGTATGTCATTGTGAATTCTTTATCGATCTTTTGTCCATATTTCGAGATCATATATTTTTTAATTTTAATTTGTAAAGAATTTTCTTGTTCCATTTTGGTATGCTAATAACACAATATCAGATTCTGTTCTCAAAAATCAAAATTAAAATGAACGTTATAAAATTAATCGCAACTTATTATAGCTTCGTTTCGCAGAAACTTGAAATTCAATGGAGTGCGCCTCTAGTTAAGGAATGTTGCATGTTAGTATAAAAATAAATATAAATGAATGCATGTATTATTCGTCCATTCGCGATCGTTGCCGAATGCTGGTACTCGGTCCTGTATACCCACGCGTATCATTTTCATGACCCCACGGAACCTCGTCGAGCGCGGACCAACCGCGGGCATGTACGTACCCGGCTTTACGGTATGTAGCTTCATGTTTTCTTGCGCGTCGGTAAAAATGTTAATTGACAATTGCGTGGCGCCACCACCGACCGCAACGTCGGCAGCGGTGACGGCGGTGAATTGCAGGAGGAGGGGGCGGGGAGAGGGGTGTTGTCCCCGGTCGCGCGTTGTGACCTTGCGACTACACCTTGCGCGATACCCTCGCGACCACCACGTCATTTATCGCGTTTTCTCGACGATAACTCATCGGCGATGAAATCGCCCCGCGAATTTCCGACTTTCGTAAATTATCAACTTATCCGAGCAATGAGTAGAGCAATGCAATCATTTCCGTGATTGCGACCGGCAAAAGAAGTGAAGAGGGTGCAAGAAGGGTAGAAAAAAAAGGAGCAGAAGGTATGGGATGTTAACTCCGGTACTCTATATGCGCCACTTGGAGCTAGAATGCACTCTAACGCAGTCTATAATTGGAATCGGTACCGAACCGGTGCCATTGGTTAGGGACTTGTTAACGACACGGTACGTGCGTGGCATAGGCATATGTACAGATTGCGAATGGGTGGATGGTAAGCGGATGGCCGGGGAAGGAGAGGACGATTGGAGAGACCGTGCAGAGTTAGACGCGCGTAGTTGGCTTACGGTGTTGCTGACTGCTGGCTGCTCGTTGCTACTCCTGCTCCTGCTGCCGTAATGGATTTGGCTCATTACTGGCTGTAGGAGCACCGTAGTACGTCCGACCCTACCAAGTTATGCCCAAGGTTGCCCTCGTACAACACGGCCCATCGCGGACCATTTCCTCTCTATCATGCTATCGCGCTTTCCGCTTGCTACTGAATCTTTCCTTTTCTTTTGAATGAATTTTTTCGCTGAGAACAGAATTCGAAATTTTTGTAATTTTTTTCTATTAGATCGCAGATGAAATTATATTTTGATATGGACAATTTTTAGCAATTAAGACAATTTTGTTATTGGCCTTGATAGATTTTTTTTCCATTTAAGTAGTAATTTTTAAATCTTATTTTTTATGAAAATTCCGAGCGCAAATTTATTTAATCCTCCGAGACGAAATTTGTAACATAGTTACTGACGCTGACTGAGTTTAAAATTAATTATGTTGATTAAAAGATATTAATTTTAATTTTAACGAAATAAAATATAATTATAAGAAAGAATGAATGTAAATGTTTTAATACGAATAATCCAAATTTGCAGAATAAAGAAAATTAAATTATTTGACATTTTTGAGAGAAATTTTTATTGAATGAATATCAAAATGAATTAAAGGATGAGAAATTTGTAAAAAAAAAATGGTAATTATTCTGTTCGAATTTAATATTGATGAATTATTGATTTTGCAATCAATAATTTTGAATAAACATAATATGAACTACACGGAAAGAATTATTTTATTGAAGTACTTATCTAAAAATTTAGTTAGATATAAAAATAATTAGTAAGAATCTCGAGCATCAATGAATAATGCTGCAAAAAGTTTTGACATTCTAGTAATTATAGTTTGAGCGTCGTAATTATTTTGATAGGTCAACAAAATTATTTTTATATCTGTATCTTTAGCTAAATTTTGAAATGTTTCAGCAATATTATCTTTTCCATGTTATAAATAACAAAAAAAATATTTTTCAACAACCACACAAAATTAAAACAATCTAATTTTTGTGTGATTGTTGAAAATTGTTTTCTCTGTACTATTTTAATAATTTTTTTTAAATTGAACTTCTTTCCCTTATATTTAAAAAAATACTTTTTTTTAAATATATTCTTTCGATATATTTAAAAAAATACTTTGAAAATGAATAAATCAGCGAATAAAAATGAGATTAATGTGGATACTATTTACGTGAGGAATGCATATTATTCTTTCCTGCTAATATTTCGACTTTACACTAAAGTTTTAATCTTTTCTTTCTCTTATATTATGTCTGTTCATCATAAGTAACAAGAGATGTAATCATGATTACAGCGAAAGAGTTAAACATTTATCTAAAGCGCAAGTACGCTTTACCAGCATATGCTCGTCTTTGATAGTCGATAATCTTAAGCGAACAAATCGCTTATCGTCGATTAATATAGTAGTCCGACGGATTAAATCGCTTTTAACATCGTCATATGATCCAACTTCGTATTTTTATTCAACGAGAATCGCGAGCACTGCGCCACGAGGCGATAATTAAACCTATAAATTGGCAGCATGAAGGAAGACGGCAGGAATCGTTTCGTAACACTCGTAAGGCAAGAGAAGTGGTCGCCGGTTAGTCGGCGCTTCCACTGATAGGTAGTGGTAGATGGGCAAGGTAGGTTTTCTCTCGTGGTCCACGGTGGTGCTTCTCGCGAGAGAGGAGAGGGAAATGGAGAGAAAGGGGGTGGGGAAGATCAGTGTGAGACACGCATACACATTCAGAAACTTAAGTAGTGCGAGTAAGTAAAGCTACGCTATAAGGCTCCGCGAGCCCCGGCTGGTAACACACATGGGTTTCCGATGGTCGTTTACCCGCGGCCCTGCGAGTGACGACCCCGCCCGCTTCAAGGGCACCCTCCTCGTCGGATACCGCAGCCTCGCGGACCAGAACCCGACTACCCGGCCCGGCTATCTTCCTCGGTACGGCGTACACTGTGGACCGCACGTACGCATTGCGATCATCTGGATTCTCCCGTTTGTTCCGATGATCACTTTTCTCGAATCCCTGGAGAAATTTCATCAGATTTTCGACTCGACTCGGCGTTGATACACTGAGAAAAGAATCTTATGATAGCTACCAAATATTGAGTGAAATAATTTCAATTAAATATCTGATTAATGTATAATCAAACATTTTTTAAATGTTAGTAAACGTTATTGAACATAATGATATAATCAATTGTTTTTTTTAAATAATTACTAAATATTTGAAAAGTAAAATTATTTTTGTTATATTAATTAAACATTTGATTGAATTTATTTCACTTAACATTTAAGTTATTACCAGACTATTTTTT